AAAAGAAAAAAAAAAGAAAAAGAAATATTTAAATCTGGCACAAAGTGCTGGATTGACCAATCCACATTGAGAGATTAGAACAATATAATCATGAAACCCAAGAGCAGAGGTCATTTATAGCAATGCTTTGTGTGTGTAGTCACATGTGAGATTCAAATATCATGGGAGGCACACTGAGGCAGACTGTTCTAGCCTGCAGATGAAATCAATCCCAGAAAGTGCAAAATAATCACCTGTAGTGCCACTGGTGAAGCAGACAATACTGAAGTCCTCTGGCTTTGGTGGCTGTTGGGACATGAAATCAGCACATCAGAACACCATGCAGCTTATTAAATCTCAAATTGATTAAGGGAGTTTATCCGAAACTAACTTACAACAGGCTTTTGAAGATTGCTTTTCCCCAGAGCCTGGAGAACAAAAAAACAAAAAAAAAAAAAAACACACATGTTTTCAATCATGTTTGTGCTTTTAACAGTATTATTTGCAAGTACGGAACTAAAAAAGAGAAGTTAAGTCTTGAAATGAAGCCAGTATAAACAAGCAAAGAGTCCCCAATAACTTGTGTTCAGCGTGTAATACCTCCACATCCTGCATGGACACAATGTCCACCCCACACTTAGTTCCTCGCTCGACCAACTCAGAGTTGAAAGAGTCCATGATGACGATAGTTTTGAGAACTGTGGTCTGGCCTGTCTCCCGGGTCTGCAGCAGTGTTTCTGCTTTGTTTTGATTGTCACAAAGCACCGTGGAGATCTCCGCTGCAAGAAGAAAACTTTTTAAGCTGTATTACAAGTTAAATAGACAGTACAATAGCAGCAAAAGTTGACACCAGTGCTGTTGGCGTTAGATTAAAGTTCTTTTTGTTGACACTAATGTAGTATGAGTAAGATTCATTGAGTAAAAACAGGGTTTATAAAAAGGAAAGACCTACTGTAATAGGTTTGCCCTTTGTCTTCTTAACTCAAATAATAAAAAGCAAAATGAAGCACAGATGGAAGGAGCTGATGTGATAAATAAGTGAGAAGAGATTACGGCACACTCGACACGGATCCCTGTGGGGACCGATGAGTTACTGGACTCAGACTCTGCTCTGTAATTAGCAGCATTAGAGTGCAAGAGAAGCTCCAATTACCTTGGTTGATAATAAACAGAAGTGCCTCAGGACCCAGGGTGTCGTACAGGGGGACTGCTACCATGGAGTAGGTGTAACAAGCCAGTTCGCTGATAATCCACTGCGAGAGACCCATGAAACAGAATTTACACAGAATGCCCACCAAGACGTCACCCTGTTATCCCCGCATTGTCGTCCACACTTACCTCAGGTCTATTCTGAGCAAAGATGCCAATGAAATTGTCCGGATTTGGCTTCAAACCCTTCTGGAGAAGCCCTGAACCCAGGTGCTCCGCTCTATCAGCCACCTTCATTGAGGGGAAGAGGAGTAAAGGTCAGCTGGAGTTCACAGCAGTTTCTCTTTACCATGTTTTTCCCAATGTTTAACGCTGCCATTTTACCTGTCTGTACTTCAGCCACTGGTATGGCCTTCCTGGTTTTCTGTAGCCCAAACATGGTCCGTTACCTGATGAGGAATAGGCCCAACATTAAACCACATGTACTGTATTAGAATAGTTAGCATTCATGCTAAGCTAATTGCAGTTTTTATCTTATCTAAAGGCTTAGTCACCTGTGTATCAATTTGAATCAAACAGTGCAGAAAACATCTTGACACATCTAGTTTTAACTCAAATGAACACTTAATTGTATTATTGGCCATCCATATACAACCAAAATGTACATCCTAATCACACTTAGTGGCAACACCAGCACACATTTCTGTTCTCAACATGCGTTTATTTTGGCTTGCATGTGATAAAGGAAAAGTTCTCATTACCTGAAACTTTGAGACCCCTCTGAAAAACTTCATAGAGGGTCTTGGCGTCATTATAGTAATACGACATCAGGTTGTTGTTATCCTCAAGCAATGCAGTCTTCCTCGCTCCATCCTGAGGACATGAAGCACAAATAAGAACAAACAGTAGTCTTGCATTTCACTGATAGACTCTTAAATACTATTTTACTGATCCTACTGACGCACCTATAAATCCTAAAAGCCCACGACCCAGGGTTGAAGCTGTAAAAGTTACATTTCACTATATGGATGCATTTTAGATGAATAAAAACATTACCTTGATGCCCAGAGTTTGACAGTTGAGGTCTACGGGGCTCCGGAGGGGGCTGGGCCGTGTGTTGAGGTAAAACAGGGTAGCAGCAGCCAGGGCAAACAGGGAGATGATGGCTGGGGTCGGGAGAGGGGAGAACAGCAATGGGAAAAGGAAGTCCATGGTGCACAGTCTGCAAGGACACAGAAAAGATTAATTAATAAAAAAAATAAAAAAAATAAATAAAAATAAAAAATTAATTATTAAAAAAGACAAGAAACAAGAACAAGAAAAATTTATACATTTTATATGTACAGACGCATACACACTCAATAGTAAACAAAAGAAAGTTAATAGTTTAAAAAATAAATAAAATAAAAAGCCATTTGAATAAGATTTTAACTTTTACATATACTCACTTATAACCAAGTGTACTTTAAAACTGGACCATATTTAAACATGTACAGTCCTATTAAGCAATCCAAGCTCCTTGACACTGCTCTTAATATTGTCTCCAGAATAACTTTAGGTCAAAGTCAACGTGACTTGTGCAACAGTTATTCCTAATCAAGATAGAAGCCAACCTGTGAATGCTGACACATCATTACAGTCTGTACATATGAGGCTCATCACAATGTGTGAGTATTTACTGTCACTGCTGTTCAGTTTGCATTAAACAGCTGTTAAACTGATGCTGTATGAAATTTAAAAAGTGCATTAAATTTTGTCTTTTAAGTTTTGTGTCATAATTGTGAACTACACAGAGGTCAGTGTTAATTATTTTATGAAACGTAAATGTGAAACTTCAACATGCGTCAAAACTCATAATAATTCCAATTATTTTGTGCAATATACATCTTCTGGCCCCCATACAATACTCATTTGAATGTCACTGTCCTACCTGCTGCTGGATCTGGTCTCAGGTGTTTCACTCTGCTTCTAGTTGACAGACAGGCTGGTGTGTGTGCGGTGGGTGTATACAGCAGCTCCTCTTCCTCTCCTCTGAAGTGTGATAGACAGAATGACAACTCATAAAAAAAAAAAAAAAAAAAGCCTGACATAGTTAAAAGAACCTTTGAACCTTGGCCACCACCACTTCCACTGATAAAACATGAGCACAAACGTAGAAGCAGCTCTGAGTTGTGTGTCATAACATTAAAGTGTGTTGTGAAATTTATTAAGCTGCTACAGAATGATATTCCCCCCCCCCCAAACTATCAGCTCTACCAACCAATAAATGGCTTTGATTTTAGTCCAGATAGATAAACTTATCTAATACCATGTCAGAGGAACGCTAAGATGCTGCAGCTGATGAAAGGTCAACAGTCTTATCATGTTCAAAGTCCTCACATTACAGAAACTGAAAAAAAATAAAATAAATTCTTCTCACCATATGCACTAGTTAAATACCCATCAGGACACACAGCATCAGCGCAAGTTGTATCAATACTCTTCAAAGACAGAAATCTACAGAAATCATCATAACACTCCTCTGAAACAGCATTAACAAAAACTGAACAATAACCTTCATTACGTGAGGATTTACTGCAGCGCTGTTGCTTTAGTTTAAACTAGGTGTACCTAATAAACTGTAAAATTGAGTGTATATCTTTAGGTGTTTGTCATTTAGTCTACACTCACTGATGTAAATGGACTGGCCAAACAAATAGAAACATCTGTCTGTGGTGTAGTGGTGCCTGGAGAAGTGGGCATATCAGTTTATTCCCCTGATTTTCTTAAAGCTGCCCATCAAGTAAGTTTGTGAGTGTGTGAGCGTGTGAGTGTAGGTCAGAAACATGTTATCAGCAGGTGCAGCAAATTGTAGAAAGCCTTTCTGCGTCTGTGTGATGTTTAACACTAAACCGGAAATAAACTGAGATTGTGCTTCATATTTGATCACACTGATTAAAGTGAGAACGTTTTCCAGACGGCCACCACCAACAGATACATTCCAAAATAACAGTAAATGCTAAAATGTATAATAAAAGTACAGAGACAAAGGCAAAGGCAAAATAACATTAGCCACCATGCTAACAGACCAAGTATGGCTGCAACAACACAACAACTCAACATGATTCATGGTGCCAACATTCCATTTGTAAGATTGTGACATTTCATGTTTTAAAAGTCACATAGACTCACTTTTTAAGGCTTATCTCAACAGTCACTTTGACATTTAACTGAATGACAGACACAAATTACATTTTGATAAACAGTTCTCCTGTCAAAACTTTAGGTATTCACTTTCTGAACTTCTCACATGTTTTCTTGTGTGAGTGATTTGATTTCTGCTGGACAGTGAGCTGAAGGTAAAGGTTCATTAGGAAAAGCTTTGAAAGGTTACCTGGTGGGATTAGCAGAGGTAGTTTGGGGCCAAGCTGAGCAGGGATCCCCTGGGGAAAAAGCAGCTGAATCCAGCAACACCACTAATGTACAATCTGCCCACCTGTGGTCATTAGCACCTTAAACTGCACACAGGTGTGAGAACTTCTCTGCAACAAGCAAGGCTCAACCTGCCTCTGCAGTGCTGCACCAGCAGATAACACTCCCAGGAGGTCCGCAGCACTTTTCACCTACATTTTGCTGTATTGCCTTTTAAAAGAAAAATATTTTTCTTAATTGAATTAGCCCACATTCTTTAAATAAAATTGTCCACTCCCTTCATCTGTGTGTGTCCCTGCTAAAGACAGAAGAGATTATGATGAACTTTGACACGATATTTATGATCGTTGGCGATAACTAAAGGTGGATGTGATACCTTTGGAATTTCTATATCTATATCTATGGTTGATAAAAATCGAATCAAGGATTTAAATATGTCATTGATGGTATCAGATCAGAGTTGAATGTTACCCCACTACAGGTCACCAAAAGGGTCACAAGGCTTTTAAGGGGTGCAATAAAACTTGCAAAAAATATACATAAAGTATGCCTATATCTCAGAATATCATTAATTTCTGTGAAGAAAACTAAATTAATTTGTTATTTTTATGATATAAACAATAAATATAATATAAAATCTTAATTATATTTTAATATTAAATTTCACAGAATACAGGCATAAGGGTTTATCAGATGTTACTGAATACAGTTATTGTTATGCATTGAATATAATAATAAATATCCATAAAATGTCACTCAGTTTACTCAATAGATAGAAAAGGGGTCCCTTAATTAAAACGTTTGACCCACTGTTGTAAGGTAACAAGAAAACATAATGATTCTGATTTTCAGGTTATTATACAGTAAAGAGAGCATACCTATGAATATTATATTCCATTTCAGCCAATAGATCCTCCTATGTGTTACACACTACCTGTAATGCACTGAGATCAATCTAATCTACCTGAAGAGTAGTGCTTTGAAAATAAGTTTGCCGTCATTGTTTTAAAGACATCCAGTCAATTCAATGATGGACTTAATGCCCCTTTGTACCTCCCAGGCTCCTCCACATATTTACATTTTCTCCTCCCTAACCAACTACCGCCAATTTAGCAGACATGGTGCGACGCTGGCTGGAGAGAGGGGCCAATGATGAGATGGCACGGGACCAAAAGGGTACAACCACCACACAACAAACATTAATTTTGATCCCAGGAAAGTTCCTTTTTTTTAACCTTAATGAGGATTATTTAAAGAGGTACCCCCATCGAATTTAGTTTATGGCACTTTTCCATGAAAAACCCCTGGGGGGGGGTCTGCACCCAAGGACAGATAAGAATAAAAAAATATTTTTAAAAAATCAAAGCAGCAGAGTGATTTGCGGTCCTGGTGTGGAATTCTTTTATTTTAAGATGGCTCGAGGGTTAACGTTAACATTTTTATGTTAAGTGACATTTTAGTCGGGCAGAACCCCTAAGCCCTGTCCATTTATCTTCCAACCAACAGGGCCACATAAGCAGATACCATATTATATATCTCCAGCGTGTTTACAAGAAGCTCTGTTTATGCCCCACTTTACAACACTTATTTTAGCTTAAGGGATTTTCTTAGGCCCGTATACAACAACATGTACGAAATCCTTCAAAATGAAATAATTCACAAAATATCATTTCAAATCCTCCAAACAGTCTGCGAGGAAGGGAGAGGTTATCCTCCATTTGGTGATGTGAAGGGGCTTTAATTGTGCTGGCTTAAAGAACACTGTAGTTGTACGGTATGAAGTTTCCCAAACTTTTGAACCTTGAAACACAAGCCCAACTGTGGCCATTACCCTTACTGTTTGTTCTTCACAGGGAACGGTCCTGACTCCTCTCTCTATTGTTGTTGATTATTGTCTTTTTAGGATGTGGGCCGATGAGGCAGTGGTTGGAGATGCTTGTGGCGGACAGGGGAGGCGAGGCTCCCAATACTGTCAAAAGGAGCCCAAGGTACGACCTCCAACCTGTGTTGTTTCTTGTTCTCTCTCTTTTCTCTTAGTCATTCTTTTTTCATTTTCCTGTTGTGTCTTTCTGGATGTTTCGTTTTTCTTTCCACTTTCTTCTTTTTTTTTTTCTTTATTCTGGCGAGGGACGTCAGGCCCGCTGGCTGTGTGGGCGCTGGGTCCCGAACGGGCGTTCGCCGCGCGCCGCTCTGAGCAGGCCAATGGCCTTTTCTCCCTCCTCTGGTGCTTGGGGTGATCCTGGCGGGTGTGGCACTGAGCATGGCGGTTGTGGTTCTCCCGCCCGCGCGCGCCGCGCGCGCGGCGCGCGGCGCGTCGCGGGGCCACGGCGGAATTCCGGGGCAGAGGCGCGGCGGAGGGGCCGGACCAGCCTCAACTGTGCGTTCCAGGGTGCTGGCTGCTGCACCCACGAGGTCCCGTGGACGGACCGTGGACCACACGACTAGCCTGACGGGCGCTGCACGTGGCGCCGCCCACTGCGGGCACAGTCAAGGTTGCAAAGGTTGCATCGTGGACAAGAAAGCCAAACCCCCAACGCCAAGGGCAACTGGTGAGCCAGTTAAAAGGGATGAATGTAGGAGGATGGTGAGTTGGCCAAGCAAAGAGAAAAACAGCTGATCTCGTAAGCCTTGGGGAAAAGGGAAACCTTCACCAACATTTTTTAGGAGAAAATTAAAAGTTGTGAAGAGACTGGGAGGAAAGGTATTGCGGGGAGAAGGGAAAATTGCGTCTCCATTCAAAGCCTCCTAAAATTCAATCGTCTTTGCCCCCCCATTTTCAAAACCCTGTTTCAACCACTCAATACATTTTTTTCTTTAGCTGCATTCATTTATTTGATAGAATCTAGAAATCTGTATAATTCTGAACTAAGCTGGATGGATTTAGGGAGGGTTTTTTGTTTTTTTAAAGTTTCCATGTTTGCTCCCCACAATGGACTTAAGAAATAGAACCGTATTTTATTTGTTAGGTCTTTATCTTTATATGAATTTTTTTATTTATATCTTTCTTCACGAGCAAGAGGCTCTTTCCCACAATGTTGATGGTTTTGTTAAACGATTTTTTATTTTACTTTTCTCAACATGAAGATGATAATAATGATTTATGATAAATGATAATGATGATTATAAAAGAATGCATTGTATCCTCTCTTCTCCGTGAAACTTCCTTGGTGGGCTGCTGGGGCAGCCCCTTTACTTTCCAAGTGGGACGCCAATTCAGCGTTGCACAACTGAAGTCATGGTTTAAGAGATGTTGAGTGGGAAATGGTTTGAGAGAGTTACCGACGCAAACCTTTGCCTTAACAGGAGAAAGTAAGTGAAAGGTGAAAACTAACCAGGCATTTGCCAAATAGGTGCACGTTTATTCAAAAGGGAAATGTAAATTCTTTTTTTTTTCAAAAACGAATTATGTGCGTGTGGCAGTTGTTGGGGTTCTGTTTACATATTGCCAATTCCAATCCTGGATGATTTACCATTCTCTCAAGCCAACCCAAAATATTTGCACTCCTTTCAAGTCATTCATTTTTCCTCTCCTCCCTATTCTTGCCCCTTTCTTCCTTACCCCCCCCTTGTTATCCCTCCTTTTTTGTTTCTTTACAAAAAAAAAAAAGAGGAGAAATAAGGAACTTTAATGGAGAAATAAAAGAACACTGGGAGGGAGACATGAAAGGTAAATTAGGAAGGAAAGAAGACAAGGAGATATAAAAGAGACTTTTTTATATTCCCGGCCATGTTTTGTTGTAAGACCAACCACCTTCTGTTCTGTTAAGGGAGGGAAAGTTCTGGGTGTGGGTTAAAGCACTGGACTTTATAGCCAGAGAGAATAAGAAGAAAAAAAGGCCATGTTGGGAAAGAGGAAATGAAGTCATAGGATTGAGACCAGAAACCCTTCCAAAAGTCAAAGGTTAAGGGTTTAGGTTTA